CCATTTTTAAATTTAAAATACAGCGTATGGACACTATACAAGCAACCAACTATATAAGCAAGATTCTTAAGGTAACTCTGCCAAGAGAAAAGGACTTATGCCATTACAAGAATGGCAGCTCATACTGCAGCTTAACAGAAGAACATACTATCATCACATAACTTTCTTCAATAAATTACTTCCCTTCATAACTGAAAAAAAAAATAAAAAATCACCTTCATCAAGCTGGGAAATCCTTGAACCACCAGTCCTTGACAGACAAACTTTATCTCCACATGTACCTTGGTGATATGCTTCAATTGTCATGTAAATTACTAACTATGGGGAGAATGTCTTATTAGACTTTTTTGAGCTCTTAGTAGTTTATACTTGATCACTATACTCTTTGCTTGTGCCCAATCTCTTGAATAACCGGTGACCTTAAAGGTCTATGACAAGACGTAAGCCTGAAGAAATACTTGTGCAGAAAGCTTTGCATATGAAGCCCAAATTTCAGTTTTTCTATGCTTATCCATCATTCAGTGACATGAACAAAACTGACGAACTGCCAGCAATGTCCCCATCGAGTAAGCACAATCCATTTTGCAAGTTATGGGTTAAGACTCCCATTCCCAGAAAGAAAGACATCAACAAGCGACTGCTCATCTTCATGAAGTTCCCTTGCCAGGATATTCTACAGCTAGAAAGACAAAATCCAGAATTACTCTCAGAGGACAACTAGAGAAAGTAGACAGAAATAAGCAGTGTAATACGACAAAGTTAATAGCCCTTTGCAGATCTCTGACTCTAAAGCAAGTTATCCAAGAGGTTTATCCTGGAACCTTTCCCTGAGTACTGCTACTAATACTGCAGCATTTTAACAGACTCTGGTACAGCCGTTGCTAAATGTCATGGTTTAACCCCAGTTGGCAGCTAAGCCCCACACAGCTGCTCATTTGCTCCCTCCCAGGTGGGATGGGAAAAGAATCGGTAGGGCAAAAGCGAGAAAACTTGTGGGTTGAGATAAAGGCAGTTTAAGAGGTAAAGGAAAAGCTGCACGTGCAAGCAAAGCAAAATAAGAGATTTAGTCACCATTTCCCATCAGCAGGCAGGTGTTCAGCCATCCCCAGGACAGCAGGGCTCCATCACGGGTAACAGTGACTTGGGAAGACAAATGCAATCACTCTGAAGGTCCTCCACTTCCTCCTCCTTTCCCCAGCTTTATATACTGAGCACTACATCACACGGTATGGAACCTTGCTTTGGTCAGTTGGGGTCAGCTTTTCCAGCGGTGCCCACTCCCAATTCATTGTGCACCCTCAGCCAACTCACTGGTGGGGTGGTGTGAGAAACAGAGAAAGCCTTGGTGCTGTGCAAGCACTCCTCAGCAATAATGAAGACATGCCTGTGTTATCAACACAAATCCAAAAGACGTAGCACCACAGGAGCTGTTATAAAGAAAATCAACTGTAGCACAGCCAAAACTAGTACACAAAACTAACATTCAAGCACTTGTCTTGAGAAAGGTATTCTACCACAGCAAATGATCATCAAGATACTGATGAATCTATACATGCAAACACATTTTATCCAAGTCTGCTGACAAGAGCCAACCTCCTCACAGCTACAGTAGATTTTATGCTCACCATCTTGAAATCTGATTTCTCTAGTCATCTGTTCAGATACCCCCCCAAAAAAACCCCCACAAAACTTCACTCTTTTTCTTTCCTTTTTAAAATATAGGGACTATACTCATACACACACTAGCTTTGCTTCAGAAAGCAACACGAGACCAGTTTTGATACATTCATTCCTTCTCATTCACATGGGGCTCTCCCCATCTCTAATCCTTATGCTTGAGAAAGCAAGCTGAAACAATCCCTGCCTTTGGAGGCTGGGAATACTGAGGAAAGTATTCTTTCACAAAAATCTCTCTGGCTTAGAAAGAAGTATCTAGATCAGCAGCAGCACTAGATTTACTTCAGCAAAGATCTTGTTCAGCTGCCAACACCAAAGCAGCATCCAATCCTACAGGCTGGTTTTTCCAGCAGACACAGGAAGAAGCAGCTGGGTGCAGAATGGGGGGAGGTCTTTATTGCCTACAAAGCTTTCACATCTGCATCAGTGCATCTCTGCACTGCAAAGTCATCTCTTAAGATGACTAGTAAATCCCAATAATCACATCAGAATGGAAGTGAGCAGTGGTGACACTTAGGTATGATTAAGTTCCCTGTTTGGAACTAGATGTATTTCAAGCCTTCTGAAGACAGCAGGAAGCAATGTATCCCAGCAGTACACCTTCCTCGAGAGAATGAAGAAGGTGGTATCACTAGAGAGCAGCTGAAAACAACTGACTGAAACTGATTTAGCCTGAACTATTTGGCTATTCTAGCTTGAAAAAAATAACTCAAACCACCAAACCAAAGAAACCCTGCCTACGGCCCCAAACTTTTTGAACAAATTTGTCCTGCATATCAACGCACAAGGAAAGTAGGCTCTGAGGAATATCTATCCTGCCACACTCAGCAGCTTTACATGCTCCAAAGAAGCACTCTGCTTTGCAGTTAAGAGTCTCAGAGCTGAGCTACCAAAACATTTTTCAGATGTCAAAGGATGCTCTTTCCTCAGGGTTTTATTGCTGCAATTACTTTAAAAAATAAAAAAAAGATATCCTATGATATCCATGAGCATTGGCTTAACCAAAGGAGGTTGGTCTTGCCTGATGCTACAGAGCAGCTTTTCTCCCCTATTCAAAACTCTCCTTAACCTGATGTCTTTGGCAGTATGCAGCAGAGATAAGTCCATCTGGTAAGAACTGCTCAAACACTTAAAAATAACTACCTTTTAACAGGAGATTAGCAATAAAGAAAAATCAAGGAAAAATATCTCCTAGAGACATATCTAACCTTCCGAAATGGAATAAGACTTGCTCTCACCATACCCATAGCATAGCCAAATATCTATGGTTATTTGTTACCATTGTTTTCCAGTCAACATAACTGATGGAGGATCTGTACAGATTCCTGTAGTCTTTCAATAGACCGGCCTAGGAACACTCTTCAACTGTCTCAAAACAAGCAGATACAATTTTGAGATGCGTTTTTAAAAAGACCTCATGAAAAGACGAGGGATACACTATTTGGAGTCAGAACCAACAAAAATTCTCACATTTACATACAGCGTTAATGCACAAGGTACAAGGGAAGGAATTTAATATATTCTACTGGGTATGTTTTTGAGGACATTCTTGAAAATTGTATTCACACAATACAAAGCCTAGTGTTCCAGTCTGGAAGAGAAATAATAGTTTGAGGGGAATTATCTCTGGAACTGAGCCTGCAATCGAACAGGAAAGAAATGTGAACAGCAATAAGAAGCCAATTACAAGGAAAAAAAGGGAAGCCTTCTTGCACAGACTACTGCAAATATATCTCTCCTCTTCGAGCAAAGCAGTCTCTGGAACTAACAGATGAGAAACTGGAAGTGAAAAAGGAAAGCAGATAAGGTAAGAGGTTTGGGGCCAAGAATGGCAGTGATGTGGATGCAGCTGAAAACAACATAGAATGTTAGTGTTAGCTCTGCATTGCTTTCAACTGTCCTTACCTCCCTATAAAATCTGGGACAGCAGACAGTAATCCAAGAAGTTTTATATGGCATAGACCAGGCAAGGTTTAATGAAAGGAAGACTTGAGTTCACCCAATCCATGGTAAGTCTTTAAAAACTACCACGGTAGCTTATCATGGCTCTATTTCTCTGTGGTATAATTGATAGCTCATTACTCCTAACATACTGAAGACTAAAGATGCTTTCTGAGTTCTATAGGGAATGTATGCTGCAATGTGAAGAAAAATTTCCCCATAGCTATATGTTACTGAAGGAAAACATGGCTCTGAACACCTGGTCACACACTGACAACTGAAGGAAGCCCTAAGCCTCTAGGTTAGATGAGCATGGCCCAGGGACCACCGTATTTTGGAGTTCTGCGTTATCATAGCAGACTTAGTTGCCATTTAGTTCTGAGTATCACGTGGAAAGATTTTTCCATTGCTGATGTCTCCAGAACCCAAATAGAACTGTGAAGAAGTGCTTGCCATATTTTGTGTGTACTTTCACCTCCAGGAATCTGACAGGACTTTAATACTACAACAGATAGATTCTTTATACTATGAGATGTATAGTGTTGAAGAC